GAGCCGGCCGGGATGCAGGGTTTGACTGTGGATTTGCCGCGCTTGTGGTCTGCCGATCTGGCATCATGGATGCCTGCCAGGTGAACCAGACGGAGGTTGCGGAAGCAGAGGAGGAGGTTGCTAACGATGAAGGTCGTTTGGCTTAGTCCGTGTCATGCTGCAGCTCTTTCCTTTCAGTCCTTGTTTCTGCCTTTCTGAGCAGAAGCTGAACAGACAAATCTGCCCACATGCAAGGTCCAGTGCGGACATGTTCAGCAGGGATATGCGTTCATCAGAGGCCCATAGGTCAAGGTGACTAGGAGCCGGGAGTTGACTCAAGTGCCAAAGCCTTCAACGGGAAGGGATCATTTTCTTACTTGCATCGAGAAAGGACGCGTAGTGGCTGCACAGCTAAGGCTTGGATGATTTGTTCCCTGACGGCTTGGCGTAAGACCTGCCATTGGACAGATGGTGCTTTGTGATGCTACAATACAGCATCATGCCAGCGACAAATTCTCCCGTGGATGGCAACTTGCGAAAGTATTCCCCGCGCTTGTCACGGACGGACCACTTGTTGGACCTCGCAGACAGTGGCCCAAGCGCTTGACTGCAGTTGTCTCTGATTTTAATACTCACAGCCCAATGGGAACTTCCCTCCATAGTGGGAAGTGCGTGAGTTGCATCAGGTTCGTTTTATCTTTCGCGCCACCAATGAAGCATCACAATTGCACATTGAGTCGGCCTTGATGAATTCGCAGTGTCCAGAAATAGGGGGGGAAGACCGGCTCGAGATTTTGAAGCTCCGGGCTCGCACAGATCGCTCGTCAGACTTTGCAGACTCATCGGATATTTTTCTTCGCTAGGAGCACTACTGTGAGCGGGAGTGCCACCCTGGCGACTGTGGCCTGTGGTAGCCTCGGAGCCTGTAAGTCTGTAAGCCTGTAGCAACGAGAGCCTCTCGGGGAGTTTTTTTTTTTTGGGGGGGGGAGGGGGAGGGGAGGGTCTGCGGGTTGGTTTCCCATTTTTTGTTTCCATTCTCTTCAGATGCCAACATTTCGGATGATTTCTACGGTATTCTTCCGCGTATTTCAGATCCGTTCCTGAGAATGTTGCCAGATGCTTGAGAGATCCTGGCAGATGGGGCGACCGCCAGCACCTGAGTGGAGAACGACCCAACGTCGCAGCCTTTTCCTCGCGCGCGCCCCCAGGTTGTGCTTGTGGCAAGCGCATGCCTCAGCTGGTCAACCGTTGGATGCGAAAAAGCCAGGAACAGGTTTGCAATGAACCCAAAGGATGGTTATTACTCGAGGGATCACTCATGCGAGTCATAGAGATCGTCATTCCGAGGATCACGAACTGCAGTCACGAGTCTGCCCGCTCACGCCTTCTTCGCTTTGCAGCTGCCTCACTCTTGCATGGGTTGCTTCCTAAAGGGTGAGTGGCCTGATGCTAGACTTCGTGCCTGAGGTTGGTGAGCGCAGAAGGCAAAGTGAACAGTTGATTTACATGTGCCGCAAACCTGCACGCGTCACTGAATTGTTTTCAGCTGCCTTTAGATTGTTCACCAGCCCTGTTGAATCGCTGTACCTTCTTGGCTTTAGCACGGGGTACGCGCGCCCCGACTGGCCTGCTGGACAGGCAGGGGAAACTAATAGTGGGCTGTACAGGTATTGTCCTTCGGAGAGAAACGTGCATCTAGCTCATGCCGTGTCAGGCAAGGGCTGATCACCATGGCCTCAATCTCAGCAGCGCCCTCCTACCTGCCGCTGGCCAAAGCCTCATTTGGGTGCGGATTGCTTGGGACCACATTTGCATCGCAGCATCTGCCCTGGCAAAACAAAGGCCCTGATTGACAAATGCATCGGTTCTCGCATTTGGGCCGGGGCCCCGGCACGAACACACGTTGTTTTCTTTTCTTTTGTGTTTTTCCCCACCCGACAGGAAGGGGTTGTTAGATTTTATGTTGGCCACGCCCCCACCCAGAATCCCGCCAGAGCAGCTCTCCAGTGGATCCCGCCAAGTATCCCGCCAGAGCAGCTTGTCAGTGGATCCCGCCGAGTATCCCGCCAGAGCTGCTTGCCAGTGGATCCCGCCCAGTATCCCGCCAGAGCTGCTCGCCAGTGGATCCCGCCGAGTAGCCCACCAGAGCGGCTCGCCAATGGAACCCGCCGAGTATCCCGCCAGAGCGGCTCGCCACTGGATCCCGAGGCCAGAGCAGCTCGCCGGTGGATCCCGCCGAGTATCCCGCCAGAGCAGCTCGCCAGTGGATCCCGCCCAGAATCCCGCCAGAGCTGCCAGTGGATCCCGCCGAGTATCCCGCCGAGCGGCTCGCCAGCGGATCCCGCCGAGTATCCCGCCAGAGCGGCTCGCCAGTGGATCCCGCCGAGTATCCCGCTGAGTATCGCTTGCCGGTGGATCCTGCCGAGTATCCGGCCAGTATCGAGCCGGAGCGGCTCGCCGTTATTCGCCAGTGGATCCCACCAGTGTCCCCAGAGCAGCTCGCCAGTCTGGTTTTGCTTGATGTCCCGCCCGGCGCACAGTGGGGCTGCCTTCGTGTTTTGAGTGTACCCTGAGGCTCGGAAAGTGATGCTTTTGTGTTGCTTTGGGTTGTGAATAAGCAACTTCGCTTAATCCCCCGTCGGGTTTCGTTTTGGAAGGGGCTTGGCTTTTGTTAACGGAACCGATGTTTGAGTTCTGGAGATCAGCTCGCAGACAAGTGGAGTTTGACACACAGACAGGTGGAGAAGGCCTCAAGCCACTCGAAAAACCATGCTTGAATTCACGCAACTGTGTTCACGGTCGAAAGCTCGTGAGTGTGGAGGGTGGGGATTGCTCGAAGCGAAGTAATTTCTTCTTAGTCGTCTTTTTTTTTGAGGGTCGTCGCGCGACGACTTTTTTCTCAGGTCATCATGAAGGGGGACAAAGAGCTGGTGGGCACTCTGCGCGGTTTTGATGACTATGTCAATATGGTCATGGATGCCTGGACCTGACTGCAAAAGGGTTTTTTGATCTCCAGCTGCAGCGTTCCGCCGAGGATGTGAGAGAGTATACCTTCACCGCACAGGGAAAGAAGATTACACACCTGGAGTCGACTATCTGGCAGGTTTGAGCATGTTCTTGAAGTGACATTATGGAAGGCACAAGGGGCTAATCAGAAAGAACACCTGTGCCAGGATACTTCTCAACGGCAACAACATCACCATGTAGCTTGCCAGGATGACTGATAGGCTTGTCCTCTTGTTTGGCAGTGGGAAGGCAGCCTATCCCTATCCGCACAGCTTTTCAGTGATCCAGTCATGTTCCGAGAGCGCCAGGCAAATAACGCACGTGTCACTCACAATCGCAAAGCAAAGCCTGCCTGCTGAGACAGACAGACACACATAGAGACATGCAGCAGACCACAAACTGATGTAAGCACACCCACCCACACACACACACATACACCAGTTGACTGAAGATCAGGAGCCCGGGACACAGCAGAGCTCACGCACGACCCATAAGCAATGTGTGAGAGCCAATGTGGGAGAGGACTTCAACCAGAGAGCAATCCACTGGAACGCACACAAACACATACTAGATGAAAAAGTACCAGCAACAAACAGGAAGGAGCTGTGCTGGCCAGCCAGCCACGTTGGGCAGGTGTATCAAGAAATTTGGGTGTGTCTTGAAACAGGGGAGCCCTAAATTGGTTGGTTTTCTTTTGGTGTGTTGAAAGCCACCCCGACATGGGATGCCCTTGGCCGGTTCTGGTACGCTGGCCAAGGATGATCCCGGGCGGAGACCCTGAAGGGGACAAAGGTGATGCGTGAGATGCGCGAGAGTGATCCTTCCTGTCGCAAATTATGCGCATTGTGATCTTCGCGCGCCGTGGCCGTGCTGAAAATCGCACGAGGTCCTGGTGTAGTAATGAGACTCGTTAGCGTGGCTATGGAAATCGAATCCAGCCGTTGCAGTGGGTGCAAGAGTTAATTTATTTGCAACCCAGCGTTTTCCATGGTATCCGACGCCTTCTCTCGACAGGTGTGCTCAACCACTTGCACTATGCAAACAGATTTGCGGCAAGCGGCATGAGCGTGCTGAGCTTGGCGTTCGCATCATTGGCCAGACTTTTGCCAGGTCTGGCGTTCCTGGGTTTAATAAGAAACCAACGGGTTTTTGTAAAATCCCATGGCTTTCTTGCTCATTTTTTTTTTGCCCCGATTTTTTTTACCCACTGAGGTTGTTCCCACACTTGCGAGAAGCTGTGCCATGAGGGGCCTTGCGGTCAGTGCGCGACCAAGGCCTGCGGTCTGAAGAGTCTGGCATACTGAATGTGGCATTCCTGAGTTTACATGATGCAGGTGCAGCGGAACTGCAGATGTGTGCGGACAAAGCGTGAAGTCGTTTGCTCTGAAGGCTCGTGGCGCTTCCATTGCAAGACTGCGATCGGATCCAACGTGAACGATGTTTGGGTGGCACCAGCCACTTCCTCGGGAAATGGTGTTCCTTTTTTTAGGGGATCCCTGCAAAATGGTGGTCTTCCATTTGGTTCCCCGTACCACCCAGAAAGGGACACCCTCAAAGAAGGACACCCAATGGTATTGAACGACACGCTTGAGGCATGAGCAGAGAATAACGAGAGCCACAGAAAGGTTAGTGTGTTAGATCGGTGCTCCTGGCAGTTGATGATGTGCTTTGCCATCAAGTCTGCCGAACAAAGAAGACTTGCGGGACAGCTGGGAGTGCAGAGCGCATGACACTCGGTGCTTCCAGACCAGAGATGCTGAGCTTCAACATGCCTGGTTGAGGGGAGGCTTGCAGCAAGAGGCGTTGCTTGCAGTCAGGCTGATTCTTTTCCAATCTATGGAACCTATGTAGCAAGATGTAACAACCACTTGATACGATTGACGCTACGTATTGTGTGCGTGGTTTGCCGCGCAACAAGTATCGGGCACATTTGTGAGGTATTGCGGTATGTCGAGGGTCTGCCGCATTTTTTACAGCCGAGCTCGGCCAGTACTTTAGCCACTGCATGAGCCATCCAAGCAGCAATAGGCACAGTCCTTCCACCCACTTGAAGTACTCCACTTATCAAAAAAATGATGTGGATGGACCACCCAACATCTATGGGGTGCCATTATGACACAGCACGCCGACTTCAGACTTTAAAGATACAGTTACATTGCAGATTTGATATTGGTTGTCCTACGATGGCAATGAGGGTGGTTGTGGTGCCAGTTCTGTCCGACAACTACTCGCCACTCGCCGCACAACTCGCCGCAACTGCACGCTTTTGCAATGTAAAACCTCTATGATTCTGCTCAACTATTGCGGATGGCTCAGGTATTTGCTGATCGACGATGCGAAGAAGATAGCTGCATGTGTGGATCCTGCAGAGGCGAGAGGATGGTGGGTGTGTCCTTGCGCTTTTAAGGGTACTTCTTTTTGGATGGTTTGAAAGGAACGCCATTTTGTGAGTCCCTTAAAGACACACCCGTTTGTCCCCAAGCGACGGTCCGTTGCAGTTGGCAGGCCCACATCGTCCTGGCGAAGGCCAGGGAAGAAAACGTGGAACTTGTGGCTGTGCCTCGGATGGGCGAATTGGCACGCATGGATCTGTCTTTTCGTGGACCTTCCGAAACTGGGGGCCCTTTTGTGGTTTTCCCCTTTGGTTGCCCCCAAAATGGGCGAATTCACGAGCAGGTTTTCATTGTTGGTTTCCATGTCCAAGCACCAGAAATGGGTAGCCTCAAAGAACGGGACAAGGGCGTCGTCTGCAAAGTTGGAGAACATTCCTTGAGGTGCTTACGACACACCATCATTACGACCATGCCGGTGGCAATGCGGAGATGGTGAGACAGGCAGCGCAGTCCTCCTGTGCGACGCTGAGTAACGGCATGAGCATTCGCAGGTTCCCGGCATCAAGGTCTATGGAGGTAGATTGGACAATGTCGCGGCCTGCACCGACTTCCTGGACAGCTTTTGCTCGCTGAGTGCGTGGTTTTGTGGGTGAAGCTCTCACGGAATCCAGGACCATGGGAGTGTGCTGTCCATTGGCTCCATCCAGGTCTTCGCCTTTGTGTGCTGTTTTTTTTGACAAATGTGCACCAAAAAGAAGAGAGGGTTTGGTTCTTTTTTTCGTGCCTTGCAGGTAAATGCTTTGCACACACCCGGGCACACTCGCGGCTCCATTTGCTACTGGTGCACCACGGACTCGCAGGCCGGCGGTAAGCGTCGGAGTTGACGTGGAGCGTTGGTGGTTCAGGGGTTGGTCTTCACCGGCGACACGCTGTTTGTGGCTGGCGGCAAGCCTATGGGAGTCACAAATGGATTTGTTGTTTTAAGTGTATCCTTTTTTTTGCTGGTTCAGAGGGAAACCAGAAGCATGCCCAGCAGTTTGGTGGTCCCTCCATTTTGACACGTATTCAATACTCAGCCGCTGCTGATTGAGGTTGTGGCCGCATGTTCGAAAGCTCTCCGGAGGAGACCGTGTTTACCATTATCACACAGATTACCTCCAAGTGGATGATGAAGGAAATGAGAGTTGGGTGAACAGCTGGGATTCCTTCGTACGTGCCTCAAAGACTTGGAAGCGAGGTAAAAAGTGAAAGGGAAAGAGTGCCTCCGCCCGTCGGCTATTACCATCTCATTCTATCTTTAAAAAGCTAGACAGAGATCCTGTCTCTTCACCACCCACCGGCCTTTTCACCAAAGTGAGCTGGCGAAGAACAGCCAAAGATTCAGGAGTTCCACAACTCTTTGGTCAACGTGCAGCTTCCCTACTTGGCTGGCTGGTAGTTTGCTGTTTTTCTCCCCGTTTTCCCGCGTGCCCGCCGTTTTTTTTTTCAAGGCTGGGGGCTCTGCCCGGCAACACCGAAGTCTATGTGGGCCATGAGTACACAGCCAACATCTTAGCTCGCAGAGGTCTATGTGTCTTTGTTTGAGGGTAGCCTGTTTGGGGTGGCTTTAAAAGGAGACCAAGAGGAACGCTTTGGAGGGTCCCCTATTTGGAGACATACCCATGCACACATTGCAGTTGAGGTGCGGTTTCTCAGGTGAAAAACCTGGAGTTTGCCGTCACTGTGGATGGCAAGAACGAGCCGCTGAAGTGGATCTCGCGTGCTTTTGTGGCTTGGTATTTGGCCTTGGTGGAGGTGTCTTCAGAGAAGCCAGAAGTTCAACTTTTCAGTTCCATGACACTAATTGAGAGATCCTGACAATTGGGTTGCATTGAGGGTTTCGCGGTTTTGCCAGGCAGATGTTGGACTGGGCTCAGAAGCAAAAGGCGCAGTTCCCCCCCGCCCCTCCCCGCCGGCCCTCCCCGCTTTTGCCGTTCGGACGTGCTGCAACAAGCGTGGCCGCCAGCCTCCTGCGCAGGTGGAGAGGAAATTCACGGTTCCATCAACGATGAAGAATGAATCCCGGCGAGTTCTTGTGCACCCGACAACCCTGGCTCGATTGCAGATCGGGGCTCGAGTTGAGGAATGGCTGATCAACCCCTTCTTGCGGTCCTCGGATGACACGCTGAGGCAGGAACGGAGCAGTCTGGTCTCACAGGTGTGGGTGTTCCCTTTAGAAGGGGCGTACTGACAGTTGCGTTCGTGTTCTTTAACCATCATGGCCATGGGTCAAAAGCTCGTACCGCCCAGTGGACATGCCAATCCCCACTAAAATAGACCAAAATGGGTGGTGCACCTACCCCAAAATGGTACAACAGGCACATGCGGCCCCTAACTTGCGTATGCCTTTCTCCCCAGGAGCATTTGCCCGGGTTGCAGCCCGGTGGAGGTGGGCGCTTTCAGGTTTCGAGGCCAATGGGCGTGTCGGTTTTTGAGCCTTTGGAAACCCAAAGGCAAGCCACAACTTTGCGGGCCCTGAAAAAGAGAGAGACTCAAATATTTACTGGAAGAATGACGTTCCTTGGGGCAAAAGCTAAGATCATGTATCGTGTGAGTGAATGGCATGCGAGACGTAACGAGGTCTTCACCAGGCTCCGCAAAGAGAAAGACTCCTTCTGAGGGGCCTTGCTTCGAGGAAAGGGCACTAGTGCTATGTACAAAGATGAGTGGCTGAGCGGAAATCCAGCAGATCTGCAAGCCAGCGCAAAACAATACGTGCAGCAGCAACAAGGCATGCGCGTGCTTCTATGTGAATCCCATGGCCGGGTGTGACTTCCCAGACGTCTTCTAGTTTTTTGGCATCCGTTTGCGACACACCCCAGCAAAGATCCTGTCCGAAGCACATGCCAAAGAGCTTGATCGCAGTTGTTCGAAGCCATGGGAGGAACCACAAGTGCGAAGCGGTGTGCTGCGAGGGGTTCAATGACCGCAACCACGAGGCCAGAGCGCAGGATGAATCCATAAGCTGCCTGTGAGGCTCACGCGCGACGTGCGAGTGTGACTAAAGTGCTGGGATTAAAGAGCTGGGCTTAAACAGGTTTTAGTCTTGGTTTCCATTTGGCGGCCATGTTGAGTACATTTGTTGAGCCACACCCAAATTTGCTTTGGGTCGCATGCCTCATGCCAGGCGCACATCTGCCTGCAAGTTTGTGGGCGACCACTGTCCTGCGGGAACCACACCTGCGAGGAGTGCGAATGTGAGAACTGGGTTTTTGTCCAGACAACTATTGGCATCTATCTATTTTGTTTCCCCCCCGGCATTATTTTTAACGTTTTTTTTTGGTACATACTTACTATTATTCAGAAACCGATGTGTCAACATTTGTTATCCTAGCCTACATCTTGGTTTGTCTTGGTTATTTGACTTTTATAGTTATTTTGTTTTGTCATTTCATTTATTGATGGCAGGTTGCTTTTTAATCACGAGCAAAACGACGCTGTCAGACCAGGGTAGGAGCGTCACCACTGCCTGCCAACAGGCATCCGCTCGTCGTCATTGTGCGTGCTTTCCAGCCCGGTTACTTTGTGCGTGCTTGTTGCTGGCAGCACGTTGTCAAAGTGACCTGTTTGATAGCTTTGGTGAGTTCACGCACAGTCATGATACAGCATGTGCTTCAGGTTTGTGATGTCACTCTCACTCTCTCTCTCTCTCTCTCTCTCGCTCTCTCTCTCTCTCTCTCGCTCTCTCTCTCTCTCTCTCGCTTTTAATGATTGCGGCCTTTCCAGGATTTCTGTCATCTTGGCAACTGTCCTCCGCGTGGGTCTCGGCATTGCATGTGTTGTCCATTGTGTCCAGAGCAGCATACTGAGGTGCCGAGTTGTGCTTCACGAAGCCGTCTTTTGCGCCTGCGGCAAGAACAGCATCGAGCCGCCAGTGGCCGGCTGCCCTCCACTTTTCCGTGTTTTGTGGCGTGGCTGGTTGGGAGGTCTGCGGCACAGAGCCACCGCAGTGTGACGAACCTTGCGCTCAGCCGCCATGGCCTCAAAGCTTCACTCGCTTGTGCCGATGCGACGTTGGCCAGGATGGAGTGTGGCCATACTTGCCCAGCGAAGTGCCATCAAGGCATGGTGACAAGCAGGCTTTGGGCAAGATCTATTCTGGAATTTGGTTCCTTGGGAATATCTGAAAAGGTACTGTACAGAAGGTACAGAGTGATTTGTACATGGGTATGTGTTTTTTTGTGGGTACGCTTGTTGGGGTCGGTTTAACCGGAAACCAAAGGGACACCACCCTAAAAAGGATGCGCGCACATGAATGTTGCTTGTCTTAGCCACTTGTCTGCAAGGTGACCACCCATTGTGCTATGAGCCTGTGGACCGACCTTGTATAGGCGCGCGAAAAGACTCGGTCGAGTGGTTTAAGCGAAGCAGCAAGGGAAAGGAGATACGCAAGACTGGCAGTGGATTTAGCTAAGCGCGAAGCTGACCAAAACCGTCGACTTGTTCTCAACAAGGATGCACAGACCCAGCCACAGTTCCACGGCCCCTTTTTCGCTGCGCCCGGTCTTTCGAGCAAGCAGGCGGTCACACGCAGATGAAGAATGTGCAGCGAGCCTAGTCGAGAGCAATGTGGCTGGCCTGCAAGCTTTGATGAATTCGCAGGCCCTGTCACGTTGGGCCTATGTCCTGTGGTCAGGCTTGTGGTGCTTCTCTCAGCAAATGTATCCAATGCAGACTTGATTGCGTGAGCATATGAACGCGGGCCGCAGACAAGGCTTTTGGCTTGGGACTGGAATCATTGCATTTTGATGCCTAAATGCTTGGCCAGGGAACATGCTAATCTCTCACAAGTGCCATTCAGTATTTTGTTTGATGCCGGAAAATCGTGATGCCGATTTATCATGAGCCTTACTTGCTTTTATGTGACGCTTGACATATGCTCCCCCTGCATGAACTATTGCTTGCCTGAGCACCGGCCTCTGTTCGTTTGCTTTACGCAGCCGACTGATGGTGGTCGAGATGTCATTGGCACTGCAAATTGCACTGCTCAGTGGTCAGGAGGTCTCTGCGGGCAGCTGAGTTGCTTTTGCTCCAGCTGCCAGACCAGCAGAAGCAGGCTTCCGTAGCACCCAGGTAGAAGCAGAGCCAGAGGACAAGCTCATCGACGTGCTCCACAAATCGCAGGAGGCTTTTGGCACGCTGCTGGTCTCTCTGGTGGGCCCATCGGGTGCACTGCAGATCACGAGGCACGGGAAAAGTTCCAAATGCTTGGAATGGGTTTCTACGTCTTAGGCTCACATGGTCGACGAAACCTTCTAAATTCAGAACCCCCCCGATTTTACCAAGCCCAGGAGTCTCTCTGAGGAGGGGATTGAGGATGGCGACCGGCTCATAGCCGTGGTTGATCGACCAGATGCCTGGCAAAGCTGGACCCCCCCCAAAAAAAATGGTGGTGTTTGTTCCTGTTGGTTTCTCTTAAAAACCCGCCAAACAGGGGTCATCACACTTCCCCCCCTTGATTCTTGAAGCCCTTGCGTCAAGTGAATCGATGCCCAGGAGCCTCCCGCGCAATGGCACAGCAGGAGCTTCTCTTTTGTTGCCCTGAAGAAGGATGGTCGTCTGGTGGTTTGGGGTGATCCAGGCGCCATGGCCGGTTTTTTGGGCCTGTCTTTTTTCGAGGGTGCCCTCTATGTTTTTGGGTAGTTTGAAAGAACACCATTTTGAGGTGTCCAACCTCAAACAGCGTTCCCTCCGAAGAGTTGGGAGAGTTGAGCTCTTCAAAGTGGATAACCTCAAGCAACCATCCCCATTTGAACAGGGAGGGGTATTTATTTTAGGATTTTTTTCCATTTTTTTTTCCCGCTTTTGGCTTCTTGGCTTCTTGGCTTCTTGGCTTTTTGGCTTCTTGGCTTCTTGCCTTCTCGGCTTTTCGGCTTCTTGCCTTCTTGGCTTCTTGGCTTCTTGGCTTTTCGGCTTCTTGGCTTCTCGACTTCTTGGCTTCTTGGCTTTTCGGCTTCTTGGTGGCTTTTTGGCTTTTCGCATCCTCTGCATTCCCAGTTCCTCTTCGGCAGGTGGCGTCTTGGCTTTTGCGGCTTTTCGCTGGTTTATGCGGCTTTTGGTGGCTTTTTGGCTTTTTGCATCCTCTGCATTCCCAGTTCCTCTTCGGCAGGTGGCGTTTTGGCTTTTGCGGCTTTTCGCTTGTTTATGCGGCTTCTGGTGGCTTTTGGCGCTTTGGCTTTTCGCGTCCTTCGGGCTTTTTGGCTATTAATGCTTGGATTTGGCTTCCCGCATCATCAGCATCACCACCACCCTATTTGAATCATCACTTCTTCGGACATCATGGGGGGGGAACCCCCCCCAACCCACCCGACACTGTTTAGATTGTTTGCAGAGTAATTGCACCCCTATTTGAATCAACTCTTCTTCAAACATCATGGGGGGGGTTGCCGCCTCCCCCCCGTTACTTTTTAGATTTCTTGCAGAGATTGAATTGCACCCCTGTTTGAATCATCACTTTTTCGAGCGTCCAATTTCGCGAGAAAATGCTGCAAAATACGACATTTTAGGTAATCTGTGTAATCCATGTATGTCTGTATGTATGCATTTCTTCGAACATCATAGGGGAAGCCACCCCCGCCAACCCTCCCGCTGCCTTTAAATTCTATCACACCCTTTCTTGAATCATTGCACCCCTACTTGAATCATCACTTCTTCCGACATCATGGGGGGGCGCCGCCCCCCCCCAACCCCCCGCTACGTTTTAGATTTTCTACAGAGATTTAATTAATTGCACCCCTAGTTGAATCATCAATTCTTCGAACATCATGGGGGGGGGTTCCGCCCCCCCCAACCCCCCCGCTATAGATTTTCTACAGAGATTTAATTAATTGCACCCCTAGTTGAATCATCAATTCTTCAATCATAATGGGGGGGGGCTGCCGCCCCCCCCAACCCCCCCGCTACGTTTTAGATTTTCTACAGAGATTTAATTAATTGCACCCCTAGTTGAATCATCATCCCCCCAACCCCCCCGCTACGTTTTAGACTTTTGCAGAGATTTATTTGCACCCCTATTCAAATCATCACTTCTGCAAACAACATCATGGGTTTCTTTGACCCCGTCGCACGATTTGTTGCTAGGGATGTTGGTCGGACATGCGGGGGATGTTGAAAACGATGCAGTGTAAAATGCGTCAATTTCGCGAGAAAATGCTGTAAATACGACATTTTACTGGCCCGGTAGAGATTGAATTGCACCCCTGTTTGAATCATCACTTTTTCGAGCGTCCAATTTCGCGAGAAAATGCTGCAAAATACGACATTTTAGGTAATATGTGTAATCCATGTATGTCTGTATGTATGCATTTCTTCGAACATCATAGGGGAAGCCACCCCCGCCAACCCTCCCGCTGCCTTTTAATTTCTATCACACCCTTTCTTGAATCATTGTACCCCTACTTGAATCATCACTTCTTCTGACATCATGGGGGGGGCGGCAGCCCCCCCCCAACCCCCCGCGCTACGTTTTAGATTTTCTACAGAGATTTAATTAATTGCACCTCTAGTTGAATCATCAATTCTTCAATCATCATGGGGGGGGCTCCCGCCCCCACCAACCCCCGCTACTTTTTAGACTTTTTGCAGAGATTTAATTGCACCCCTATTCGAATCATCACTTCTGCGACCATCATGGGGGGGGCTGCCGCCCCCCCCCAACCCAGCCGCTCTGTTTTTTTAATTGTTTTTTTTGCTGGGATTGAAATGCCCTCCTGTTTGAAGCATTATTTTTTTGACCCCGTCAACCCGCCAGCTACTTGATTTGTTGGTGATGCTAGGGATGTTGGTCGGACATGCGGGGGATGTTGAAAACGATGCTGGGGATGTTGATGGGCTAGTGTAAAATGCGTCAATTTCGCGAGAAAATGCTGTAAAATACGACATTTTACTGGCCCGGACGAAAAACGAGAAAAAAAAAAAAAAAAAAAAACCGGAAAAAACACCCAAATATTTTGTCAGGTCTCTGCAGCCCTCCCGAGCTCTCAGACGTGGACTCCGTCTGCGCGAGCTCAGGCGCCATGGCGGCGATCTCGCAGGGCCGCGTGGTCTGCTGGGGCGACGAGCGCTTCGGCGGCTCGGCGAACGCGGGGTCGAAACGGGAGTAAACCAAATGGAAACCCACCATGAAACCTTGGCAAATGGAACAGACTGAAACCTGCGTAATTTTTCAGTTGTTGAGCCAAGGGTTTGAGGTGTACTTTTGATCGGTTTTAGTTACACATAGACGGGTTCCACAGGTTTAGATGGTTTTTTATGCCCCATTTTCCAGGGGAACCCATCTATTTTTCCAAAAGGCCACCTATGCACGGATGTGGCTCAAAATGAATCAGCTCGGGTACGCAGGTTTTGGTCTATGTTTCCACTTACGGTTCCATTTTGGGTACCGGTTTTGAGCAGCTACATGGGGAGACCAAACCCCAGGATACGTTTCTCCGTTTGATTTCATGCACGAATATTGCCCTCCAAGCACCCGCATGGAGAAGCCTACCAACGTCGGAGTCATGCTCCTGTCGACCAAAGGCTTCTCATTTTGTCTCAAACCTTCCAGCGCTTCCAGCCGTGCAGGAGGAGACAGCAGTGCTGTCCAGCACCAGCTGGTGGATGTGCAATGCCTTTGCGCATCAACGTATGCGCTGGCGGCACTAAAACGTGATGGCTCTGTGGTGACGTGGGGTGATGCCAGCGCTGGTGGTGACAGCTCAGCAGTGCAGGAGGGACACAGAGCCGTGGGGCTTCTCCGTTATGCGGCGCCGTCGAACAGCAAGGTAAACCACGTCGGAGATGCGTAAAACGCAAGTTCGTGCTTCATTTCTGGGACCCCGCACCGGACATTATTTTCCTATAAGTGTTGGGTCCCCAGCCACTGTCAGTCATAGCCCCCCCCACAACGATGGTTTCTCTTTTTGTATCCCTTCAAACCAATATCAAAAGGTTTCCGAGCGTCAAAACAGCCGCACGCACGTTCGCGTTTTGTCTCTTTTAAGGGACCTCCCACAATGGTGTTTTTCGTTCGGTTTTTGTTTGAGACGCCACCAAAAAAAATGGGGGACCCACACAAACCATGGCTTGCGCTCAGGAGCAGCTGGCAGGTGTGGTGCAGATCTCGGCGGCATCTTGGGCCTTCGCCGCGGTGCGGGGCGATGGCTCAGTTGTCACCTGGGGCGATGAGCGGAAGGGCGGCGACAGCAGCGCGGTGCAGGACGGGGCTCAGAGAAGTCGGAGCTCCGAAAATGGGTTGGTTTCCTTCAAAGTCATTAAAAAAGAGTAGTTCCCAAATCACTGGCACATCGAAAGCTCAAGTTCTTCTTTCCCCTTTTGCCTCGACCAGGCCAAAGCGACCACTAACGCACAAGAACAGTGACCGAAGACCATGACCAGTGCAAGGAGTTTTGAGTAGGTCTGGCTCGAGCGGCCTTTTAGCAGGAAGACCTGTGCCAGCTGACGCTCGAAGCAATGGGCAGCTCCACGGTCAAAGTGGAGGTCATCATCGCACTGTAGCAGACAAGGCCGCAAGAGTGGGATGGTGTCACCCTCGTTGGGTGGACGATGGTGGTGAGCGGCGTGTTTTTTGCCATCAGGCTTGCCTGCGGGCAAGAAATGCGACCAGGTTTGGCTGGAACAGGTGGCCGCCAGTCACACCTCCAAA